AACAACTCATTAAAACGGTTCCTCATCTGCCTGGGAGCCTGGATTTCACTATATGAACTTCTGGAACATGAAACATGTTTCCTGTAAACCAAACCCAATCTTCCCAATTGTAAGAGAGTAGCAGAGAAGGAGGACATTCATATCCATGGAAGATCACCCAAGCTCACCAGAAGGTATTTAAATCTTGCACAAATTTGCAAACGGGCAAAAATTACCTGAATTAGAGACGAATGGGAAAGATAAAGTGTTCTTAAATTATTTTAAAGTTCAATTCTCATTATCTGAATAGAAGCTGTTAGCTTTGGCAGGCAATGTGTTCGATAGTTCACATAATATTTCTATCAACTTTGCTATGTAAATGCTCAAGGTTTTAGGCTTTCGCTGTGAAAACACAAAGCCTGGCTCTCTCCCGTGCTCTGCCCATGTTGCTCTTCCTCGCTTCCGTGTGAACAGGAGTAAACCAGGAAACCATGTTCCACTAGATAGTGATCTTGGGAAAACTACTGGAGAAACACTCTGACCACGCTTTGGGAACAGAAGAGTGAATTTAAATAAATCAGGCAGCATTCAAGTTCCTCTTCAGTGGGATATTGCCAAAATAAATTCAATGATTGCTTTGGCCAGAGTTTCTTTGGTTTTAAGGCAGGAAAGCCCAGCAGAAGAGAGTGCAGGAATATTATGAAATGTATAGGGGAAGCTCTGGGACCGCAAGCAGGTGCAGGACCAGGGACAGGACCTGGAGGCAGTTGGAGTCTTTCCGGTCCTCCCTGTCTCCTCCCCAGGCCCTCATCTCTGGGTCTCACACACTTTCCAGCATCTCTTTGCAAACCAGCCATCTGAGTCTGCTTCCTGCTGCAATAACACAATACTGGAGTCTGGGTAATTTATAAAGAAAATAAATTTATTTTGGCCCCGGTTTCTGAGACTTGAATTTCCAAGAGTGTGGTATGGACACGACCTTGGTGTCTGGTGGGGGCCTTGTGCTACATTACCTCATGGAAGGAAAATGGAAAAGCAAGTGAACACATGTGGAAAGGCACAACACAGAGTGGACTTGCTTTTTAAGAGGATGCTTTTGTCGTAACTAACAGATCCACAGGAGTGAGGTCTCACGAGGAAGTGTCACACATCCCTCTCCATGGCCTAGTCATCTACGAAGGGCTCCACCTCCCAGCACTGCTACAGTGACAGTCACATGTCAACCCAAGTGTTTCGAGACAAAACATCCTCCATCCATAGTCCCAGCTTTCCCTGCTTGCTTACTGATATGCCTGGCTCCAAAGGGCGCCTTGGGAAGGCATCTCATTCCTAGAATCTCTGCACTTTCTCTATGCCTGACCTTTGCTACAGTAAAGCAGCAGGATTTTTGTGGGCTAGAAAGCTATGAAAGCTGAAGTCCTGACCTTCTCTTGTGTTCTGCCCACCCTTTTCTTCCTCGCTTCCATGTGAACAGGAGTAAGCCGGAAGTCACTCCCACTAGATAGCAATCTTGGGAAAACTACTGAAAAAGAAACTTTTGGAACAGGGTTTGGGAACAGAAGTGTGGATTTAAACAAAATCACCACCATTCAAGTTCCTCATCTGAGGACCAGACATACAGAGAGCTTTCCACAAGCATTTCCTGCCTCACCCCTTGACAGGGTTACATTAGCTTGAGGTCCGCAGCTAGCTGGAAAGTCCTTCTCTGATCATATTCCTGGTGTGGGCAAATTAATTGGGCCACCTTGGTGGATGCTCACTATTGTCCAGCCAGCTACGAGGCTGTGATTCCCTGAATGTTAGTGACCATGCCTGGTATTATCAAAGCAGTTATCAAAAGAGGTCTACCCTCTCCTCTTATACCTACTTATGTGCTTCAGTTTAGTCTGCAATCCTGGCTTATTGACATCCATGAGACTTCAGTTTTACAAGTGACTTCGGTAGGGTCAGAGCCAAAGTGACAGATTTGTAAAGCCCTTAATAGTTGAGAATGAGTGAATAAGACACTAGAAGTAGAAAGACCAGTTAGACAGTGAAACAGTCCAGGAGATAGATCGTAAATAAGACCTAAACTACGATGGTTTTTAGTGAGTGGAATCAAAAAGATTCTTTTGTTCACTGCCAGGATATTTCACATTTATATATTTTCTTTGATTGGAGTATTTTTAACTACTTCCTCCTTTCCTTATAGCCTACTGATCCCACCACTACCACCAAACTTGGCTCTCTGGTGCTGTGTATCTGTGGGCTTTATATCCATGATTCAACCAACTGTGGACAAAAAACTTTCAGAAAAAAATGTATGTCTAGGCCAAACATGTATAGGCATTTTCCTTGTCTTTATTCATTAACATTATAGTGTAAAAACTATGTCCATGACATGTACATTGTACCATGTATTATAAGTATCTAGAGATGATCAAAGTATAGGGACGTGTGTGTAGCTCATATGCAGATGCTGTGCCACTTAACTTAGGCACTTGAATGCCCATGGCCTTTGGTGTCTGCAGGAGCCCTGGATCCAATCCCCCATGGACACCCAGGCATGAGTGTAGACTCATGCATCTGCAGACACACGCACATGCACATGTCTGTATATTTAAAAGGTTTCAGAGTCAGGGATCTCAAACATGAACAGAATAGAAGGAATGACACAATAAACCTTGTACTCACCTCACCCAGATTCCACAATGAGCAATGTAGGATCGATGTGGCTTCCTCCGTCTCCCATATACTTCTCCCTCTCATATTACCTGTATTAAAAAAATTCTCAGAATTCACAGAACTTCATTAGTGTCATATTTGCTTTTTAAAACAGCTTCCTGGTACTGTTAAAATTGATAAGATCTGCCATTAACCCAATGTTAGCAGGAGGCAGAGGAGGGAAGCCTGGGGCCACTGGTCTTTTCCATAAGCCTCTTGGTGCTGGTGTGCAGCTGGAGATGTGAGCCACTGGGCAGCTTCTTCTGCTTCTTGTTCTTGTGGCCCTGGCTCTTCAGGTGTGACCTGGGGCAAGCTTGCCTGGAGTTCTGATGACATAGATCAATGTCTTCCCTGTTAGCTTGTCAGCCCTGGAGAAGGGACACAGGGCCTTATTTGCCATAGTAACCCAAATACTCAACTTGTAGAAAATCCCTAACAAATACATGTGAATATTACTTAGGTACAATAATGTTCATCTTTTGTGTAGCTATAGTAGAATACTGGATGCTGAGTGCTTTATTCAGAAAAAAGTTTTAGGGCTGGGGATTTAGTCCAGTGGCGCAGCACCTGCCTGGCAAGCACAAGGTCATGTGTTCGATTCCTGGTACCGGGGAAAAAAAACAAAAAAGAAAAAAGGTTTACTTAGCTCACAACTCTGGAGGTCCAGGAATATGACAGTGGGCTCTGCTTACTCTGCTAAGGCTTCTTGGTAGATGGCACCACAGTGGTAGAATGTGCTGAAGAGACACGGTGAGCAGGAAGCCAGAGAGATTCAGGAAGACTCTGTCTGTCTGTCTGTCTCTCTCTGTGTCTCTGTCTGTGTATGTGTCTATCTCTGTCTCTCTCTGTATCTCTGTCTCTGTCTCTTTCTGTAACAGCCCACTCTTGCAGAAATTAACTCATGCCATGAGACCAGCAGTAATATCTTCCAAGGGCAGCTCCCCAATTCCTTAATGACTCCACACTAAGCCCCACTTCTTGAGGATGCTACCGTGTGCTAATACCCACACCCAGGGAGACCAGCCTCCAGCACGAGAGCCCTGGGGACAGACCAATCTGTACGGAGCAGCAGTTAATAGAGTTTTTCAGTTACTTCTGTGGGAAATGGGCTGAGGTACTGGGCACAGCTCATTCTCAGGGTTAGTGCTAGAAACCTAGAGACAGAGCTTTGGTGCAGATAAAAATTTGGGAGCAGAGGATGGAGTTCCTTATTGTGGAAGGTAAGGCAATTGCACATCATGAGTATACTTAATGACACTGGGTTAATTGTGTACTTAACAATGACAGAAGGGTAAATGTTTGTTACGTGCATTTCAACACACACACACATACGCACACGCATGGATAGGATAAGGGAGTTGTGAGCACCAAGCCACACTGGACCCCAGAGGTGAGCAGGTGTGATGTGAGCTGAATGCCAGGCCACTTGTGGGATGACCCTGCTGTCACTGCATGGCCACTGACATCAGCTTGCACGCAGTGGGGGGCTGAGGAGGGGGGGCAGGTTGGGTGGGGAGGGCAGGGCACAGGCTGCAAGGATGAGTTTGTTTGTTAAGGGAGTTTTCTCGTTTGTTGCATTGAAGAGTGCAGCACTAAACTGCAGAACACGTGAGCAGGAGGAGGGGTTAGCGGACAACATGAATGAGCACAACTGTCATCTCATGTGTTTATATCAAGAGCAGCTAAGATCTAATCACTGAATGTGGTCCCAGAGTCACCCACATCACAGTCACGGTCCCCTGGAAGATTCACCATAGGATCTAGGAGCCCCGCTGGGGGAGACTGAGCCAGATATCCCTGGCGACAGGACAGAACCCTCTTTCTAGACCAGCTCGCCAGTGTGCACGGCCCACAGTGAGCTGAGACTGCAGCCGGAGGGAGAGCTCCGCACAGAGCACAGCTAGGTAGGTGCTGTCAGCACGGGGTCAGGAGAAGAGACGAGGCTGGGATGCCGCCAGGCTGTGGTGTAAATTCTGGAAAAGACTCCGAGCACCCGAAAGGGGCACAGATATAACCAAGGAGCAGGAAGGAGGCGAAGACGAGGTGGAGAAGACCTTAGCCGGGATGGAGCAGATCCCAGGCCTTGTGTCCCAGGGTCTCGGAGGAGATGGTCACCAGGCCACATGGGGCAGGATTTGGATGTCAGGGAACACCTGGGACAGGGACTCGAAGGTAACAAGCAGCTCACTGAGGACACTGTGAGGGGCAGAGGCAGGGACTCTAGCAATGAAACTGCTCGGGGAGGCTCGGGGGGCAGGGAACAGGTGGGAGCCAGGAGGGGGAGCCACGGCAGAAATGATCCACGCAGACACAGGGCATGAGCAGGGCTTGCCTTGTTTATGTGCTTGGAAGCAGACCTGCATTTCCTGTGGATTCTGTCCTTCACACTCGGCTTCGTCAGCCTTTCCCACTGTAACTTCCGGATCCTGAGAAAATGGGGAGGCTGGCAGTGTTTCTGGCATCAGGGAGACGCTTTGAAATAAGAGCTGTCAAAGGGAGAGAGAGAGAGAGGCTCTCGGTGTGAAAACATTAAATGGAAAATTCCAGAAATCAACTCTACTTGGAGAAACCACATTCCTATAAATGTTATTACAGTGCATTGTTCTGATTGCCCCGTTTTATTGTTATCAGTTCTTAGCACAGCTTGCTCTTGCTGTGCTTACTTTATGATTTAAGCTTCACCGCAGGTGTGCTTGTATAGGAAACACACAGCACAGGCAGAGCTTGGGGCTCTCTGGGGTGCCGGGGCCCTGGGCAGCCCCTGCAGGTGGGGGCTGTAAGCTGTCCTGTTGATCACTACATGGCCTGAACCAATAGTTCAGAGACTGCGCTGTTCTCCGAGGCCGCCAGGTGAGCAGGGTGCTGTGTACAGTGGCAGGTGGGGCGTTCAGGACCCTGGGCCTAGGCCACTGTACCGTGGTTCACCAAGCTGCCAGCGAGGATAGGACACGTGTGGGGCCTCTAGGCTTTGGTAGTGTGGGGAGCTCACTTTCTGGCCCGCACTGGTGTTCAGGGTGGAGGGGTGGTCTGCAGCGCTGGAACTGGGCTGTGTCTCTGAGGTTCTCTTTCCCAACAGCCCCAGACCTGTCCCCACTCTCCCTCCTGGGGGCCCCACCTCCTCACTCTCATACCGCCCCTCTGTCTGTTCCCCGGAGTTTCTGCAGTGGCTTTTGCTCTCCTCCCTGTGGTGTTCACCAACTCTGGTGGGCTTTACCGGGGTTGTGTCTCCCGACTCTCTCCAGAACATCTGAAGTGGAAGCCGACTGAACTGTCACAGGGCCTGGGCTATACCTACCGCCGGGCAGACAAACAGTGACCTTCAGGAGAGAGCTGTCGTGGCATAGAAGTCACTACCTTGTGTCAGCTACACCAGGCTTTTTCAAGTTCAGATTCCCTGTATTTATAATTCTGGGCTTAATTTTCAGTTTTCAGGGTGGGGAGTGAGGCAATGTGTCTGTGAGTGACTGGGGTAGGAAGGGAGGGAAATAACTGAGGTGAAAGGAGAGGGCGGGCCCCAGGAGCCAGGGATTTCCATCTGAGTCCCTCACGGAACCACTCCGGACACAGATTGCACCTCTGACCCTGACCTTGTCTGCAGTATGGGTCACAGCCTATGTCCTTTCTTGGTACACACAGGGGCTGAGGTCTCCTTTAATAATTCCAGGACTTGCTTGGCTTTCCCCCAACCCGGAACCTCTACCCCACATGGCCCTTAGGGGCCCTTCCGGTTCCGGATTTTCTTGTCTCTCCATTCTATGCTCTCCAGCTGCTGCCATGGACACCTGTTGCACTGGAATCCCCAAACCACCAGAGGTGGTCACGCTGGCCTTTTTAGGGGCCACGAGGCTTGCTGGGCTCCAAGGGACATGCCGAACAATGTACTTGGCCAGGACAGCCCAGGACAACCTGCCCCACCCTGGGCAGCCCATCCTCCAAGCCACAGGCCCTGGGCTGTTGACAAGCTTTGCTCACACGTGGGCGATGCCGTGCCATGTGGCAGTTGTGGATTTAATGAAATGAGGCCCGAGAAAGCAGTAATCACCTCTTCTGGTCACCCCAGTACTTGGACACCAGGCCCTGTCCCAGGGGCTCAGAGCATTAGGAATAAATGGCATTGTTGGAACCCTCATTGTCACCTGGTCGAGGGTGAGCCCCAAACCCTCCTCTGCTGTGGGAGCAGAGGCAATGTCCTCAAGGAAGACAACTAAAGTGCCACTCCCTAACAGGGAGCCTGATGGGGGACTGAAGGTTACAACAGGCTTTACCCTGTCCACAGTGGCAACTCTGCATGCTCCAGGGACTGAGCCTAAAAGCTGCTGTGGAAACCCTTTGCCAGCCTGCAGATCCCTCATCCCCACCCTGCCACAGGACAGTGTCGGAGGGAGCACCTGCCCTACTCCAGGCTGGTCGCTGCCTGAGCAAGCGCACCCTTTCTCTCTTCCAAAGCTGCCTTTCCTTGACATGAGCTCATCTGAATCTTTCCTTGGGTTTTGGGTCAAGATCCGTTTGTCACCACCAGGAACAGGAGTGTGGCCCTTCCTGAACTGCTTCCATCTCTCGGTCCCCACCGTCTGTGCTGTTCATTTTCCTACCCAACCCGAGCTCTCCCTGGCCCGGAAGTTCCATGAGGCAGGCGGAGGGCCTGGACCCTGGGCATCCAGGGAGGCTGGCTGTGGGCGGTTCCCGATGCATGGAGCTGCGAGCACACACCCTGGTTTGGGATTCCTCCAGCCCAGCAGGAAGTGGGAGTGTTGATGCAGCACGGTGCTCCGAGCCTTGGAGGCTCTGTGCTAGCGTCTGAGGGTCACCAACATCTCCCTCAGCAGAGCTGGAGAATGTGATCCGCCGGGGAGAGAAGGGAACCGTTCCTGAGTTTTTCTGGCCCCAGTCCCTGTCCTCTCCTTCCTCACTTGACAGCTCCAAAGCCTGCGGGTCAAGTCCACCGCCCACTGCCCTGCAGGGCGCAGTGCTTTTGTTTAGGTGGCACTGACTGGCTGGCGGCGCTGGGCAGCAGCCACAGAGTGGCTGGGACCGAGGACGTCCCTGGGGTGTGGGATGTCCCTGCTGAAGTGATGGCATCCAGAGGTCTCCAGGCACAGCCCCAGTGGCCAGATCCGGAGGGACCACACAGTGTGGGCGGACAGGGCTCTGGTGAGGTTGCACTGGGGCAGGAGGCTGTGTGGACAGGGCAGAAGGATGACAGGGGGCCCGCTGCTGTGCATCATGTATGAATCGGTGCCACCCAGGAAGCCACAGCTGAGGGCCCTACCGTCTGTCCCAGGGGGACGAGTCCCCCACGCCTGCCCAAGCCTGCTGGCCTTTTCTGGGAAGCTTGAAGATGCAAAGCATCCCTCAGAGAGGTCTGAGATGGTTTCATTTAAAATTGCAGGGGAGGGGGGACTCAAGACTGGTCCAGGTTGCAGTGGGGATTGGGGAGCTCAGCCCCACCAGATGGAACAATCACGGGGCAGAGAAGAAGTGAAGGAAGCTCCTGCCCACTACCCTGCTTCCCCTTAGGGTGCAGCCAGTGATTGCGGGTGACTCCAGCTCTGAAGAAAGCAAGGGGCATGTGCGGCGGTCAGCCAGGGTTAGAGATGGGGCCTCTTCGCCTCGGCAAGGGCAGCGTGGTGCTTACTGTGAGGGCAGACTTCACGGTTCCACGGCTCGGGGAGCACAAGTCTGTTTGATCTCTCGGCAAGCGTGGTCCTTTTGGGGAGGGCACTGTTACTCTCTAAGAACACCGGCTGAAAGGAGAGAGCTGATCTCAAGCAGGAGAAATAAAGCATGCAAACATTCTAAGCATGCTAAGTACATCTTTAGAAACTCATGCAGTTTTGTTAATCCGCTGGCAGATGGGAATGGAGGAGCCGCCTGTCCGATCTTTGAAGAGCTGCTGTGGCCAGGCCAGGAGGAGAGGGCGTCTGTGTGACAGGGACTGGGGAGGCCTTCACCCAGCCCAGGACAGAGGCAGAGATGGAGACAGATCAGCATTTCCTGGCTCAGGGCATGGCAGGAGCCGCTTCGTCCAGTCTGACCTGGGGTTTCTCCACTGGTGCCTGTCATCACGGTCCCTTCCCCGGCTCCCTTCTTACACCGGGACAGCACGCAAACCCATTTCCCGGCACGCCTGTGCAGCCACACACAGCCCACACCCGGGCAGGGCGGCAGCCTTCCCTAACGGAAAGAACTGTGCCTGCCGGGCCCTGTGGGTCAGCGCGGGCTTCGGAGCTCCTGGTAAAGCACCCGCCAGAGTGGGTCTGCTGCAGTCGGCCCTGCACTTTAAAAACAAGAAACACAGTCCAGGAAATAGACCTGCCCAAAGAAGGCTATTCTGGGGTTCTGATGATTTCACTATCTGCCTGAGCTGTTTATTTTTTTAAGAATGTTATCGTTGGAGACAACTTTCACGGTGAGTCAACCTGTGTTTGCTTGTGTTGGTTTCACCTATTATTTTTCCCCCACTGATCTTTCAGCTCTCACCACTCAGTGAACCCTGACCAAAGAAGGGCGCCTGCTTGCTGACGTATGAGGGGCATGGGGAGTCACCAACACACAGGCCACACATGCTACACATGCTACACATACAGTTCACACTTGTACTGCGCATACACACACACTTCAGACACATGCCACACACATACACCTCACACTCCACATATGCACTTCACATCAACACCACACATACACTGGACATACCACACATAAACTCACACAATACCCTCTATATACCACATGCACACATATACACAATCTATTCACATACATGTCACACACTCATAAACACACCATAATCTCACCACATACATAATTCCCACACATATATCCATACCCACCGACCACATGTACACATACACACCACACATGCACCACACACACAACACCCCCACCACACATACATCACACATGCACATATATACCCACACACCACTTGTATGCATGTGTCACACACATACCATATACACACACCACACACTGCATTATACAAGTACCACATACACATGCCCACGTGCGTGTCTATGCACACCGTGTAAGTACACTTACACACCTCTAAGACCCACACACACCACACCCACTCAGTAGCCAGTGCAGATTTTCTCCAAAGTTGTCTGCTAAGCCCTCATTTTCCAGAAGCTCGTTGTGTGTCCACTCTCGCAGTCATTAATAGAAGGTTGACCCATGCACCTTCGGGTGTTTGGCAGGAAGAGGGAGGTTTCTCCGATGGACCCTGGCCGCCCGAGGGATGATGACTTGTGGTGTGGCTCCTGCAACAGAGCTGATGGCAGGGGCTGAGTTGCGTGTTTCCTCCTCTTCCCACAGGGGGCGCTCTCTGGGTAGAGACGCTGGAATCCACGCATCCGGTCCAGCTTCCAGCCAATGAAACCTAGCATCTTAGACGTTCCAGTCAGCCATAGGGAAAACTTCTGGTTTTAGGTATGGGCCCGGGGGCCATCTCCTTGTCCTGGCTGACATCTTCCTACTCTCCCTCCTGTTTTGCACTTCAAAATGTCAAAGGACTCTCATGCTCCCTGTCTCACACACATTTCCAGTGACAGAGGAAAGTATGCATCACTGTCTTCAGGGATTTCATTTAAAGAACACAAAAGTGCCCCCAGGCCGATCAGTGATAGGCCACAGTCTCCCGTGGTCCCCAGGCAGGGGTGAGGGCTTAGCATGGATGAGAAACTCCGTTGTGCTCGCTCATGGCTTGAAGACTGATCTTGTGCCGCTTCTGACTGACCCCTCTGAAGACAGCGGCTCTGGCAGCCAGTTTGGTTCGAGAGGGCAGCTGTGCGAGTTTAGCTAGGCAGAGTCCTGCGAATTATCGTTCAGCAGCTGCAGAGTACACCCGACAGCATGCCCAGGCCTGCGCTTCCCAGCTGTGTGCCTGGCAGTGGCGAGCAGACGTCAGACGGGCTTTATGAGTATGCTCCTCTGGGGTGTGCGAGTACGAAGCCTGGAGAAGTGTATTTTTGGGAAGTGACCTTTGCTTCAAAGGCCCCTGTTGTCCCGCAGCTGCACCTACCTGTCTGGAGTTAGCCTGTGATGTGAGAGAACAGAGCACACTGAGCTGCCCTTCACCTGGCACACTGTCCCAGCTGCTGTGAACAGGTTGGAGGCACCGCCAGGACCAGAGGCCTCGTCTGCAGAGAAGACACTGCCCCCCGCCCCAGTCCCCTCCTGCCACGGTCCAGCCAGCCGAGGCATTGCAAAGTTGCGCTTCCTGGATTTTGTGTTTCTCTGGGCAGCCGACGGTGCAAGTTGCCCTGTAAACGCTCACTGTACGAGCTCAGCAGTCCACGGGCCGCTTCTTCATCCCTCTTGGATGGCCTGGAAATGGTGCTTCTCTTTTTAAGTGTTAACCCTATCTCCCCAGTTTCCTTGAGGGTGAGAGCTACGACTTGCCCTTTTTGAGATTTGGCAAGTTCTCTGTATATGCTTGGTGGCGAATTGATGGGTACTTAGATATGAATGCATGTCCCTTTGCTGGCGGCCAGGATTTGGCTGGGTTAGATTAGAGCATGGGCCTAGACAAGGAGCCCCCAGGAACATCAGTACATCAGCCAGCGGGAATCTGATCTGTGTGCTCCTAGTCTTGGGAGCATACTGTTACCTCAGTCAGAGTGCAGAGTAGCAACAAAGCTAAACGTATGAGTTCAGAGTGAGAGTGCGGAGGCCACCGTGAGC